GAAGCAAGCGAGATATATATATATATATATATACCTGGCGTAATTATGGTTTTTAGGTGATGTTATTCAATTATTGAATATGAAGCAAATAAAATGACTATAAAAATCAAAAAGAAAATGTTATCAGCACATCTGATTCCATCCATGACAATAAACTTCACTTTCATTATTCATATTAATTAATTCCATCTGTGACATTAAACTTCACTCACATTATTCATATTAATTACATATATCCATCATAGATTAAACATCACATTAATACATGCATAAGTACGATCATTAGAGCGTTTGTTGATGGGTTATTGGTACGGGACCGCAGCGTCGGTGGGGAAGGGTTACTGATGAGTTATTGCCAGATTAATGGAGATGTGATGAGGGAAGTTATTGACACGGGACAGCGGGGTTATTACAAAGTTATTAGAGGTTATGCAGAGGTTATTGTACGGGACTGCAGCGTCAGTAGGGAACAATTACTGATGAATTATTGCGGGGTTTTTGGAATATTATTGGAGATGTCACGTGGAAGTTATTGACGCAGGGCCTCACGGTTATTACAAAGTTATTGGAGCTATGCGGAGGTTATTGGTACGGGACCGTGGAGTTATTAAAGGGTTATTGAAGATGTCACGTGGAGGTTATTGGAGCGGGATCGTGAGGTTATTACAAAGTTAGCAAAGGTTATGCGGATGTTATTAGGGCGAGATCGTGGAGTTATTAAAGTGCTATTGGAGATGGTTATTAATGGGTTATTGGAGATGTCCCACGAAGGTTATTGGAGCGAGACCTCAGGGTTATTAGGAAGTTATTGGAGGTTATGCAAAGGTTATTAGGTCGGGACCGCAAAGTTATTGAAGGGTTATTGGAGATGTCACACGGAGGTTATTAGAGCGGGACCCGCGGGGTTATTACGAAGTTATTGAAGGTTATGCGGAGGTTATTAGGGCGAGACCATAGAGTTATTAAAGGGTTATTGGAGATATCACGCGAAGGTTATTGGAGCGGGGTCGTGGGATTATTATGAAGTTAGTGGAGGTTTATGCATAGGTTATTAGGGCGGGACCGCAGAGTTATTAAATGGTTATTGGAGATGTCATGCATATGTTATTGGAGCGAGACCCGCGGGGTTATTACGATGTTATTGGAGGTTATGCGGATGTTATTAGGGCGGAAACGCGAAGTTATTGGAGGTTATGCAGAGGTTATTTAGACTAATCGTGGGGTTATTAAGAAGTTATTGGAGGTTATGCAAGTGTTATTGGAGTGGGGCCGTGAAGTTATTATGAAGTTATTGGAGGTTATGCAGAGGTTATTAGAGCGGAACCACGGCGTTATTGGGGAGCAGTTACTAGGGGTATTGAGACATCATTTAAGAGTTTTTGCGGCTTTTTTAAGGGCATTTTAAGAACAATATAGGAATCTAATGTCTATTGTTATTATTTTTGGACACACATTGAATATTTTGTGCTAAGAATTATATCTCACGTATTGAATCCATCATCATGTCAGTATATGATTCCTTGGACCGTGAAGTAAAGAAATTTTGCAATGTATCAATAGTTTTTTAGCATAAGTTTATGTCTATGTATCACCATATTGGTTATCATTTTCTATTATATACCAACCTGTGAAAATCAGGCATTGAACACAGATTTGAATCACATAGGAATGGTTTTGGTTCTTCGTTTGATGAAGCTTCTTTCAGCTTTCTTGTATTTCATGTTCATGGTTGGAAAAAACTTATTGTTAGCTGAAAATAAAAAAACAGATTGGAATGGAAGAAATATACCTTTTGCTCTCTTCTTCGTCTCTCAATACCCATTTAGCCTGGAATTAGATATTGCCTTAAGGCGCATTTAGGTGAGATCATTCAAGTTCGATTTATTATTCACTAGTTTTTTATTCTTTTTTGGTTGTTTCCTGGACTGAGAACCTCTCCCACTTATTATGTCATAAATATCCAATGATGTTTTTTTCATGGAGTCCGTCATGCACTGCTCAGCTTCTGAATTCCCATGTGCTTTATTAGTAATTTGGTATGCAAATTTTTGCATGTGTGTGTGGAATATTATGCCACTTTTATTAGCATTGCACATTTGTGATTGTTGTAGATGCTTATATCCATAACTTTTGTATACATTTCTTTTTACATTTGCAGATCAACTTAATAGGAGATATTTATTTGGTATCTTTTTTATATGTAGAAAGTTGAGGACTCGTAGAGAGTTTGCATATAATAGCCCCATCATTTCAAACTTTTTGCAGTTGCACTCAGTATACAAATTGAACTTGTCGAAATTAGCAACCCAAGGTGTGTTTGTCAAGTGATCATCCAAATTCTTAATAAAAAATTCAAATTTAAATTACAGAGAAATGTAATTGAAGATCACATGATTCGTGTATAAACTCTTCCTCAAACATTGAGTACAACTTCCTTGAGTAAAATGCAGTTGTCTGACTCAATATTGGGTTGCTTCTGGCGACGGGAGTAATCACAAATTGATCACATTTGATATTTTCAAGGCCCAAAAATAATTTATAATAGAACTTGTGGACTTTGAGACAACATGACAAATATTATTGGTTGACTCACTTTTTTGGGTCGATAAAATTCTCATTTCAAATATATCCTTATTAAAAGCTGTTGATCACTTATGTCTAATATTATACATATCATCTAGGTGTAGATTACCCTTCTCAATCACCACCTTTCATGTATAATCAAACTCCTCATCAAAGTTGCATTTGCTCATAAACTTATAAAAAAGATCGGTCACTGTCTTATTCGACACCCCATAGTGAACATTTAATGAAAATTTCTTGTATATGTGTCACTGATTTAGCAAAATGTCTTCTATGACTCTAGTCATCGTCTGATCCTGATCAGTGTAGATTGTCAGTCATTTGATTTTTTTCATCCATGATACAGATAAAAGTTCTAAATAGCCATTTAGATACATCTACCGTCTCATCTGACAAGAATCCAACTCCAAAGAAAACATTATGTCAATTGTGGATAACACTAATAAAATGAGCATAATATAAATTATATTTATTTAGTCTATAACTAGTATAAAAAATAATGACATCGCTAAAGCAGTCATAATCAAGTTTGGACGTGTCTTCACTCCAAAAAAAACTTTTCAGCCCACCACTCTCATCAATTTTGAAGTCTCACGCAAACATGGAATCCTCAGCCCGCCTCTTTGTGAACAAATGCAATAAAGAATTGGTGTCGCCATTTTCAATTCTAGAACTCTTCTCTCTTTGAATGAAATTGAAGACTTCTTGCTTTGTGCCTTCTAAATTCTCCACTCCCCCAACTTCTGTAGCAAGAATGTTAAATGCGTGTGTAGCTCTTAAAGCGTATGTAGCTCTTATCTCTGACTGTGTCATCGATTTGAGCACATCTGCATTAACTTTGCCTATCTTTCTGCTGGAACATAGAAAGTGCTTACACTGAAGTTCGCCAATGAGTAGTTATGAGATTCTATAAATTTTTTGACTGTTTAATTACCTTGATCATCAATTGTGTATCGAATCATTGCCAGACAAACAAGTCTTGTGTCCACTTTTTTGTATTTAACAGTCTCTGTGATTTTCATATTTTTCTTGAAACTTGCTTTTCCACATACGAAGTCCTTCGTCTTAAGATTCTTGGAGTTAGGCCAAAAAATAGTGTGCTCCTTGCGAACACTAAATCTCATATGATGAATGTAAGCACAATATACTTCATAAGCTTATTTCTCATTGTGGACCACCGTGTGAAGTAATATGTTTGCAGTTGGGTTAGTACAGTTATCTCCACCCTCACCAAACTGCACAGTAGAGAATGTTAATCTTAAAAACATCTAAAATATAAATGACCTTGGATGGCTTGGTACACTTACCTGACAGCTCAAATATAATCTTAAAAACAACTGAACAACAGTACTTGATATGTTAATCTTAAAATCAGTTGAACAATAGTGTAAAGTACTTCATATGCTTCTTCCATAATAAGGGTATGATAAGTTAAAAAAAAACACTCAAGATAAATCTCCTCCATTAAACCCTAATAATAACATCTGAAAAAACAACTCCAAAAACAAACACCTCCATAAACATACACATACAAAAAACCACTTAACCCTAATAATAACAACGCCCTAAAAGCGCATAACACTTCAAAAAACAACTGAAAAAATGTCCTAAAAAAAAAAACATATAAAAACAAACCTCCATTTCCATCTCATGTGTTTCTCTGTTTGTGGGATACATCTCTTCTATTTCATACATAAAGGAACTATTTTTGTAATCCATCTTCGAGAGGTCAGGTCGGGTGCAGGAGTAAATGTCATCGGCAAATATGGCGTGCAAAATAGTAAACCCTAGCAGATGCGTCCAAAAAATGATTCACGCAAGCAAAATATTTGACCTTTTAGTGCATCAAAGGCTTCGTCCGGACCGGGTCGGCGGGTCATGCACAAAAAAATTGATTTTTTTAATATTTTAAGTGGTGGGCTTGCTGTAGCACACGGGGTGTCATTCTATTGGTTTCCACACGCAGAACTGCGTATATTCTCCGTATAGAAAATTTTCCCCAGCTTAGGGCTCGTTTGAGAGGACATCTAGCCTTTGTTTAGTCGCAAAAATAGTTGAGAGAATGTTGTCATTCGTTTGGTTGATCGGCTTCTCCAGAAACATGTCAGCCGCAACCGCAACGTTATTTTTAGTCGTTCTGGGATCACACCTTTGGTCCTCCAATCCACCGTTTAGAACCACCGTTCTGATTCTAGGAATACAAATTTCCAAAAAAACCCTGCAATATTCTCCTCCTCATCCTCCATGTCTCCGTCATCCATCCCCACCAACACTTCGTGGGCAGGCGAAAGAAGTGAAGGCAATCCACCTTCATTTCATCCAGTTATCGCAACAGTAGATCATGGCGCAACAAATGGAGAATCAAGATCGAGAACAACAATGGTACCGGATTCTGCCGCCACCTCCAAAGGTTGGATGTATAAGGAAAGCATGAAGGAGCGACATGCTCGGCAAGTTCCTGCACAGGTAATACCATGAAGCAAGCGAGAGGGGAGATAGAGACAAGAAGAGGAGTTCCTCATTAAAGAAAAATGGATTGCGATTGGAGTTAGTTGGTAGTGCGTTAATTGTAGTTGATAAGATTAGAAAGGGTTATTATATTCTTTTTAATTCAAATGTTATAAATAATAGAGACAAGAAATTTTTATATTCAAACAGTAATATTACTTTATAAAATGGAAGTTCTTAACACATTTTTTTTATGTTGCGTATAAAGTTGCTTTTCTGAAAAATTAAACTCCCTCAAATAAGCCCTTAGGCCCGATTTGAGAACGGAGCATTGCTCTGTTTCGTTGTAGGGAACAACGAGAAAATTCTTCAAACCTATTCGTTACTGTCACATCTCGGGTCCAGAAGGCAGACCAACAACACGGGGCATGATGAAAAGAATCAAATTTTGTATTCTTAAAACGAAAATAGTATGAAGGTAAAAATAGAAATAAATAAGAAATAAATTTATGTTATTTCATAAATAAGAATACAATTGATACAAATGAAAGAAAACTAGATAAGTGAAAGAAATTAAAATGAAAATAGGGAAACATTTATCCAGATTTAGAAAGAAAAAACAATAACTTATACGAAACATGAATAAATACCAACAGTAAATATAAAACTGGAAAGATTACTCCAGTGGAGACAACCATGCTGGTGGTTGAATATAACATGTTCTGTAAAATAGCAAGAAGTGAGTTTTACAAGCAAAATGTTACAACCAACTCGATGCAACCCCATCATATTGAGACAGGTCGCATCGTTTTAAGGTTATAACAGATAATTTTTTACTCAAAATCGATTTGGAAGGAACCTTAATTACTTATTTTTCTCCAATTTATCATAAACAAATAACCACTAATATCTTCAATTATTATAAAATAAAAATATCCAAACCTCATTCAAATCATATTACAATACAATAAAATAAAATACGTACAACAATCATGATTTAATCTATCTATCATCAAAATATAAACATCCCAATGACTATCAAAAACATAAAACTAAGGTACAAACATACTTAATATCAGACTCTCACAAGTATACAAAAGTCTCTACTCAATCTGAGCATTACCCTTCAATTTAGCCACCAAACTAGCAAATTGAGTCATAGAATTTAATAGGAAGAGCTCCCACTATACTGTACATTGCCCCAACTTAACTGGAACTCTGCCATCTATCACACTGGAGATCCATAATTACCCCGTACTTGCACCTGACATACATATGCAATAACTTAAAATAACATAAATAAAATAAATGATAAAAAAAAATTAATCTTAAACTACCCAAAACTCTTACACTCATCTACTAATCAATCCTTTGACTCTGGTTATAAATTAATTCCTCCAAATCTATTGGTCTGATACAAAAAATTCTATCACAGCATAACTCGATGCAACCAGATATATTGAGGTTGGTCACATCGTGTCGAGGTCATAACAGATAATTTATTACCCAATATCTATTTTGAAAGAATCTTATTTACTTATTTTTCTTCAATTTATCATAAACACAGAACCACTAATATTATCAAATATTATAAAATAAAAATATCCAAATATCACTTAAATTATATCAATATACAATATAGAGAAACATATATAACAATCATGGTTTAATTTCTCTATTATCAAAATATATAAATCACTATGATTATAAAAAATATAGCTCTACGGTCCTGACATATCTTATACCAAGCTCTCACTAGTAACACAAAAGTCCCTACTTAACTTGAGCTTTAAACTTTCATGAAACAACACATGCGAGTGAAGCAGGGGTGAACAAGCACAGCTTAGTAGGTTACCCAAAAGCTACTGCAGTTTTCAGTAATAAAAATAGACATGCATTTATAGAAAATAAATTAAACATAGTGGAATCTCATGTAGAATATCTATCACAACATTAGTATAAGAAATTATAACTGCAATAGACATGTGTTGAGTAACAACATAAACAACATGATATCACAAATATAGGAAAATAACATGAAAAAAAAATTATTTCTTTATTTGAATTATTTTAAAATTTTCTCTTCACCTCTGATACCTCCACTTTCACTTATATCTCAACTTGTTCATTTTTCCTCTATGACTTTTTATACCTCAACTTGTTCACATCTATTCAAGCGTATCAAAATCACAAATGGATAATTATATATGTGTAAAGCCCTTATAACTCCATTTAACCGCATAAAACATACAACCGTCCTACCACAACCACCTGCACTTCTTTCATTTTTATTATTTTTGGCACATATATAGGATACAAAGGCATCCAAATGCTAGTAATTTTGAAAAAAAAACAAATATCACAATATGTTATAAAAATTTGTACAAACCAGTAGGTAAGAATGATAATATAATTTGCGAATGAAATAAATTTACATATATTGACAAGCAAAATTTATAAAACTACTTATATAAAATATTCAGAATAATATTTCAAGCATTTATTATTATATACCAAATTTATTAGGTTTAACACACTTGCCAGAATATAAAAAATATTGTACGACAAAAGGTACCTAGCGATAAATAAATATTTTATGTTGATATGCACAACTCGGTCTAATCTACAATATATAAAAAATTGCTCGGTGAAAAGTTTGTAAATCTCAGCAGATCTGAGTTTGTATACAACTTTTACAAATAAAATACCAAAATTTTACGAAAAAGTAATGAAACAAAAATTTGAAGTAGGCTAATAATAGCCTACCTAGAGCCAGATATTTTTCCTAACCAGCCTAACGAACAAAATCAACCCTAAGGATCGCACTCTCTATGCGTCTCTATTATAAGGGAAATGGGAAAAACGATAAGCATGGAAATGAATTCCTGTAATGTTTTAAGACAATTACAATAAGAGGATATTTTTTATTAAATAAAGGATATAAAGATAAATTTTGAATTATTATTTTTATTAATTAAACATTTTCCTGAAAACTTCTTATATTTTGAAATATACAAATCTAAAAAATATGGAAAGAAAAAAGGTCAATACATAGAAAAATATGTTTAGAATATACCGGTGAAAACGGTTTGTAAAACAGATACTAGATAGCTCAAGAAAATCCACTTGTATATGGATGCACGAACTACTTGAGAAAGAAATTCAATAAGAAACCTTTTATTTTCCTGTTTATGAAGTTCATAAAAATAAGCAAAATATGCTCAAAATATAATCAAGTGCACTCTATAATCAGGTGAATATATCTTATAAATCAGGCATTAAACAAAAGTACTAAAATTTGACAAATAAATTGAGCATAAAATTAACTCCAAAAATTTCAAGAAAATTATTAAACATAAAATATACATGCAAAACATCCGAAATCCTAAAATTAGTATACTACATTAGTAGTTGTTACTAGGGGTGTAAACGAACCGAACACGAACGAACAAAGCTTGTGTTCGTGTTCGGTTCGTTTAAAATTTAGTTTGTTTGAAATAAGCTCGTGTTCGTTTCTTAACGAACGAGCAATATTAATATATAAAAATAATATTATATATTAATTATATAACTTATATTATATAAATATTCAATATCTATATTAGTATATTACTGCTATAGTATATTAATATATTATTATTATTATTTTATTATATATTATAATTTATAAAATTTAATGTTTTAGAATATAATAAATTTTTTATATATAATTATTTTATATTATTTTATATTTCAAACAATAACGATTCGAACACGAACGAACGTATCACTGTTCGTGTTTGGTTCGTTTAACTAACCGAACGAAAAAAATTTGTTCGTGTTTGTCTCGTTTACTTATCGAACGAATCGAACACGAACTCATTGACGAACCGAACACGAACTGTTCGCGAACAACGAGCTTTTTTGACAGCCCTAGTTGTTACACAAATTCAGTAAATTACAACTATTTATTAACGCATACAAAACAAAAAAATGAACATACAATATGAATAACAAATAAAGACAATTTATTATATGTATAACATAATATGCAAAGATTATCATATGTTTATGATAATGAATAAGAGTGACTTAAACAAATGCACTTTTATGTAGATATTTACATGTTACAAAATCAGGTGTTTTTGCACAGATGTGATTCATCAATCATTTAATACTATGTGATAATACATAATTTCAATATATGTGTGTGTGTTTGATTTAATACGACATCCTGAAACAAAAAAGGTAGGCACTAATCCCATGAAAATTCACTGATTTATTTGAGGACCTGTCGATCTAGCTAGTCATAACAAAAGAGTTTAATAACGACATAATATTATTGAAATATCTGTTATATTTCATGCATCACAATCAAAACACAAGAATATAACTACAAATGCTCACCAATATTTATTAACAATTAGGAAACAACTAATGGGATCTATCACATCAAAGATCTAACAGAAAAAATAAATATGGAAATCATAGAATGTGAACAATTAAACACAAATGTAAGCAGCAATAAAATAAAATTAATTATACATTAAGTTTATTATGGCCAAAAATAGAAAAACTACAAATATATGAACAAAATTTAAAAGGTACAGATCACAACGCTACTATTAGCTAGGAATTAGCAATGAAAATGCCCCCAACTAAAAAGCGTATGTTTATTCCATAATAAAGAGTAAATACTTACCTTGAGGCGGCAAACATGATACCTCTACAAATTTAACGGTTCGACCATATATATCCTACATCAATTAACAATAAAACAAAATAATTATTCAATTAAGTTTTACTATTAAATCAGGTATAACCTAAACGACATTCATTATTACTATTATTATTATTATTATTATTATTATTATTATTATTATTATTATTATTATTATTATTATTATTATATTTTTTTAAGTAAGAAGTTATGAACTTTAACCTAGCAAATATAATTAAAATAATATCTTATTTTTGTTTCAGGTTTGACGGGAAAGAAAAACTTTTGATTTCTAACAAAAATTTTGGGGGATTTGTATGCATCACATCTATCCCTAATAATAACAAAAAAAATTTCATTAAATCTTGTAGGTTCTTAAAACCTAATTTTCCTTTGTTTGCCTTAAATCCAGGATTCAACAAAACACATTGAAAGGAGCGCATTTTCTGTCTGGACTTCTGATGTAGCTCTACGTGCGGCGTAGAATATTCCTGAGTTATTTTCATATTATTTTCAATAATCCTGAAATAACCCAGAAATAACTCGCGGTCTTTATCTTTTAGTTATTTCTGGGTTATTTCAGTATCATTGAAAATAAACCAGAAATAACCTGAAAATAGCTCAGAAATAATTTTGGCTGCACGTAGAGCTACGTCAGCTGTCCGCACATAAAAATTGGGGCATTGAAAGACGGATTTATGGGATCCAAAGAGGTTGTGCTTGCGGTTGCCTTCCTCGATGGTTTTAGGTATAAGCCAGTGGAAGGAGCAGGTTGTCATTGCACGCCGCTACCTTCTGGACTAGCTCTAACTACGACAGTACTTCGAGGGTTTCGGGCATGAAGCCAATGGTTATGGGCGGCGAAATCGTGAGAGAGGGAGGTTATGCCCTTAGTCATCTTTTACAGGCGTTAAGGCGATGCGATCGACGATTCGAGAAGCGGCAGGCAAGGGCGAGAGGAAGAACAAGCTAAGTTTGCAACAGTCTGAATTAGGAAGGTCGTGAGAAGGAAAGGAAATAAGTTCGCGTAATAACAAAACAAAAAAGGAATTTTTGGTGCTTACACGTACATCATGTACTTATTAGGCTTTTTTTCTCCCTCAATAACAAATAGTGCTTCTCTAATTATAGGAGAATAATTACTTTAAAATGATCATTATACCCCTTCCCCCCTTGTCAGGACCTGCCTTGGGGATTGAAATTAACCAAGATGGTAACAGACGGTCAGACGATAAAAATCGATTCTCTGCTATTCTATTTTTATTATTAACAATTCAATATTCAAACAAAAACATAGATAAGCCACTAAAAAAATAATAAAATTAATAAGTAAAAATTGTACATTTCAGATTGTTGTTTCCGCCTTCTATATACATTTGATCCTCTCCTATTCATCTTAATTAAAAGCTTAAACCTGAAAAATGTTAAAACAACATAATGAGTTATCTAAAAATAATTCATGAGTAATTATACTTCTAAACTACAATAATCCAAGGAAAAAAACTCAACATGCATGTTGTCTTTTATATCTATATAAAAAGTCCTTTACTATACTAATATTTTATAGAACATCTTTGAATATACAAATACATGCATCAATGATCTTTTTTAAATGAAAATATTTTAAATTTTTATATGCATTAACTTTCGGTTTATTTTTACTTTATATTCTTTACATACACATATCGTTAAAACAACCTAACACACCATTGGCCGATATTATTATGTCGACTCCCGTCGGTATAGTGATTAGCGATCTACATATCGCAATTGTCTAAGATGGAAAAGACATTACTTGCCCCTAACCGATATTATCCGGTCGGCACGACAGTTAATAATATAAACATTACAATTGTTTGAAGAGGTAAGCTCTGGTCTACTCGTCTCTGACTAATATTATCTTATTGACACAACGGTTAGCAAACCAACTATCACAATTATCTGGGGTGATAGAAAAACATTTACACGCACGGTTACACTAGTGTCCCCTGTCTATACCATTAAGGCGTGACATCCTCCTATGAACATGCACATACAAGCATCCATGTATATCATACTTTCATTTCATCATTCAAAACATACATTACTTTCCTGTGAGACTTGTATTTATTACTAAATCATACAGTTCTACTAAAATCTATAACATATATATCTAGTCAAACAATGAACTAACCTATACATCTTTATTAGAATATATAAATCGTGTAGCAATCTGATATCCTTATAAATTAAATCATTATACAACCATTAAGAAAACAACATTTAACATGCATATAACATGCTGACCATATGAAGAATTATAAATAATTTAACTTCATTGTGCAATTATTTAGCATACATAATTTCCTATCTTATAGTATGAAGAATATATTATAATCTAAATCTTACTAGAATAGATGAAGTCGAACATACATAAAAGAAATGATGAAAATTACTGAAATTCAGAAACACAATTACTCATCTTGATTAAAGAGACATTTGAAACACTTATCCTGCACTTCACTTCCGCTAATGTTTTGACCTCTATATCCTTTAATTCAGCTCGTTGATAAAATAAAATCTCTAAAATTAATACATAAAATTTTTTTATGTTCAATTAACACCACATTTAATTAACTGTTTTACGTAATTAATACATAGAACTTATAAATCTTTAACTTATCCCTCTTGAATGTCTTTTTTCATTCCACTCCCCCCCACACACACCCACACACACACACACACACACACACACATCCATCCATCCATCCAGACATACATACATCCATCCATCCATGCATACATGCATGCATGCATGCATGTTAGGCCTAAATAAAAGAAAAAAAAAAAATCCATCCATCCATCCATCCATACATCCATCCATCCACACACACACACACACAGATCTATCTATCTATCTATCTATCTATCTATCTATCTCTTTTTCTCTCTG